AGGAATATAGAAAGGCAGGAAGGCAGGAATGCAGGAATTTAGCAAAGCAGGATTATAGGAATAGAGGACTGCAGGAATATAGGAGGACAGGAATATAGAAAGACGGGAACACAGGAATGTAGGAAGACAGGAATGCAGGATTACAGGAAAGTAGGAATGCTGGATTATAAGAATAGAGGACTGCAGGAATAGAAGACTGAAGGAATGTAGGAAGACAGGATTGTAGGAATATAGGACTGCAGGAATACCGGAGACAGGAATGCAAGATTATAGGAATACAGGAATATAGGAATGCTGGATTATAGGAATAGAGGACTGCAGGAATAGAAGAGTGCAGGAATATAGGAGGAACTAATGTAGGAAGACAGGAATGCAGGATTATATGAATAGAGGACTGCAGGAATATAGGAAGCCAAGAATATACAAACACAGGAATGTAGAAAAACAGGATTATAGGACTATTGGACTGCAGGAATATAGGAAGACGGGAATATAGCAAGACAGGAATATAGAAAGACAGGACGACTGGAATGTAGGAAGACAGGAATGCAACATTACAGGAGTATAGGAATGCAGGAAGGCTGGACTACAGGAATAGAGGACTGCAGGAATATAGAAAGACAGGAAGACAGGAATGCAAGATTATAGGAGTATAGGAATGCAGGACAGCTGGATTATAGGAATAGAGGACTGCAGGAATAGAAGACTGCAGGAATATAGGAAGACAGGAATATAGAAAGACCGGAGGACAGGAATGTAGGAAGACAGGAATGCAAGATTACAGGAATGTAGGAATGCAGGAATGCTGGATTATAGGAATAGAGGACTGCATGAATATTGCAAGACCGGAATATAGAAAGACGGGAACACAGGAATGTAGGAAGACAGGAATGCAGGATTATAGGAATATGTGAATGCATAAATGCTGGATTACAGGAATAATCGGAGGAGAGGACTGCAGGAATATAGTAAGACAGGAATATAGAAACACAGGAAGACAGGAATGTAGGAAGACAGGAATGCAGGATTATGGGAATAGAGGACTGCAGGAAGACAGGAATATAGAAAGACAGGAACACGGGAACGTAGGAAGGCAGGATTATAGGAATACTGGAATACTGGAATATAGGAATAGAGGACCGCAGGGACATATGAAGACAGGAATATAGAACGACAGCGAGACAGGAATGCAATATTATAGGAATATAGGACTATAGGAATGCTGGATTTTAGGAATGGAGGACTGCAGGAAGATAGGGAGACAGGAATATAGGCATGCGGGAATGCTAGATTATTCGAATAGAGGACTGCAGGAATAGAAGATTGCAGGAATATAGGAAGACAGGAATATAGAAAGGCAGGAAGGCAGGAATGCAGGAATTTAGCAAAGCAGGATTATAGGAATAGAGGACTGCAGGAATATAGGAGGACAGGAATATAGAAAGACGGGAACACAGGAATGTAGGAAGAAATTAATAGCAACAGGGTTTCCCCATAGCCCGTTGAAGATATGGTTTTCTAGAAAACTAGTTTTTCCGAAACTACATAAAATAACTCAAACCTTTCTTAACAATGCAGGATTGTGGCGCACAAATTTGTGGTTAAAATGAGACATCTCCCAGCTCTAGACGACCTTTCTTTGCAAAGTTATAGAGTTTATAAGAAAGCCCTAAATTAATTTTCTCCTTTTTATTTCTGTAACTTTGAGCTGACAATGAACAATTTAGGGCTTTTCTTATAATTCTATAATTTTGCATAGAAAGGTCATGTAGAGCTGGGAGATGTCTCATTTTAATCAGAAATTTGCGCGCTACAATTCTGCATTGTTAAGAAAAGTTTGAGTTATTTTCTGGAGTTTCTGAAAACTGGTTTTCCAGAAAATCGGATCTTCATCGGGCTATGGGGAATCCTCATGGTCATATTCAGAATCAACATGGTCGATAACCTATAACGCACTAGATTTCGACTCAAAAGCGGTCCTTCCCTCGTAAGATAGCTAAAATTAATAACTTGTAAAAAATAAATTTAAATTGTGTTATATTTACTTTTGTTGTCGTAAAATATCTCTCTGTTCGCACTTACCTAAATGTCCAGCAAAATTACTAGCCACATTGACTATTCTTGCTTGTGGTGACGCTTTTTTTAAACTTGAATGTAAACCTTGCATTAATAAATAATAAGAAAATATATTAATAGCAAAATTTGACTCTAAATTATCAACAGTTACTGTTTTGTTAACCGAAGGTGTGTAAGCAGCATTATTAATCAGTACATCTAATTTTGGATATTTAGATTCAAAAGTTTGTAAAAATTCACGAATAGATTTGTAAGAAGCTAAATCTATTTGTTCCAAATAAATATTAGAATTTCCAGTTTCTGTAATTAGAGCTTGTTGAACATTTTCTCTCACATCGAGTGTCTATTAGTGGAGATCATATGCTCAATGTCTTGGAGCAAGAAGGATTTGATGTTTTAGCTGCAGCAGTACACTAATCTTTCGAACAAGTGCCATGCACATATATTTCTTCTGGTTTGTACTTCACCCAGTCACTGATCTTAATAAGAGTTCGAAGAACCATAGTCACTATAGCTTTGTGGGTGTTTGTAAGATACGCTTATACCCACTAACAGTCCCGTTTTGAAACCTGATGCAGTCATCCGATAGATCTCGCCGAACTGACTATACTAATATCGAATAATATTCAAATGGATACTAAATAACGGCTACTAACAGTCGAAACATAGTCACAAACATCCCAAAAATGACATGAGCTAATAGTCGACTCTCGATGTGGGATTATGCTTATATTTACTTAATTATAAAGTTAAAGAGCAGGTGTCGTCTTTTAGGGGTGTTATAGTGAATGTTTGTGACTATATTTCAACTGTTAGTAGCCGTTATTATATGAGTATTATAACATATTCGAGCGTTCATTGCCATCTTTGCGAAACAAAAGCAGGTCCGCTAAGAATAAACCGTTTAATACAAATAATATAAATAGATTCTATTAAGTATCCAAGACCAATTTGCTGATACGTACAGGCACCGTACATGTACAAACACAGGCACGTGGCATGCATTTTCAGACATGCAACTTGAGCCGCATGCATGTACAGATGTATGTGAATCAAGAGACATGCAGTAATCTTGCATGCCCGAGATGGATACTGTGAATCACGCAGATTATTGTTTGATGTAACAGTCATTGGCGAAAAATTTAACACATTAGCTGTAAAAATACGAATATATATATATATATACAGAATATGCTGCAGGGGTCGCCGTCATCTGATGATACACAGCGACAGAAAAAAGTAATGGAAGAGATAATTTTACTCTAACTAGATGCCCGCACAATAAAAATTCAATCGACATGGATATTCCAAAACGAAAAGTAGCTAATTAGCGAATTTTACTTTCAGTTTTCAGTTTTCATTTTTTATTCGGTATTAACATCAGTACCACACTGAGCAAGACAGTCATATACGGCTCTGTCTCAGCATCTCTGACACAAGGTGGAAATGCATCAAGTCGAAAACTTTGAAAAATATCTGAAGTAAACTGTAATGTTTATACACCTGTTACGCTGACAAAACAAAATGGTGAATAGAAAAATGAGAGCACAGGACGCATCTTATCTGCCCGAAAAATGCCTGTCGCTTGAAGGACAGACAACATTAGTGTCTGTAGCTGTCAAGCGACATGCACGCAACATGTCTGTATACATAGACGTCAATCACGTCTCTGACTAGATTCTTGCATGCCTGTATAATGCATGAGATCGATACTGAGAATCAAGCATGCCCGAATTGTAAAAATAGATTAGTCTTGGGTAGAAGCAAATAAATCAAAGAAATAAACAGGTTCCAGAATTTTTGTGTAGTTAATGCTTAAATTATGGATGCATATTATCCGTTCTGCTCATAAGCAATACTAAACATGAATAGATGACGCTTAATACCGTTATGCGTCGCTCTGCTTGTATTTTACATGCATTGAGATTGTACTGCTGATATTTTTAAGTTACTTTCAATCGGTGCCCGCTCTAGTATATCGGCAAAGAGGTGGCGGTTCGTTAGAGGAGGTGGCGATCGTGATCAAAAAACGGTTTTGAAGTCCATTCGAGATTCGTTTTTTGGTTTCTGCTGGAGAAGACCGAGAAAAATTTTCACAAGGAAGTGGCGGTCGCCGGATCGTCGTGCTGTTGGATCCACCACTGCTTTCGATGTGGAATAGAAGACCGTGCTCTTGAAAACTTGAAATGATTCAATAAAAAAGAACTTTTCATTTAAAACATTTCGATAAACTAGCGCTGTGAAGTCCAACACACGTGAATGGAAAAAACCGGGACAATAAAAGTAAGATAAAAACCGTCAGCTTATAAAACCATACAGAAAAATCAAGATCATAAAAGAAAGAACAGAAAACTTGTTTTGAGAAACCATGTCAAAAAATTGAAATAAATTTCTACGGTTATTTTTGTTTTATTTTGCAAATAACTGCGACCATTTATGGTCCTTTCAGTACTAGAGTGGAAAAAAAAATGTTATAGAGAAGTAGAGAAATAAGATGACAAGCTATATGAATGAGTCAACATCTAGAAACACTAGTTTATCACAGACTTAAGATTCGAAGCGAAAAAAAGAGAAATTTTAAGACTGAAAACAGAAAAGTTGAGCGATAACGAAAAAGAACAAAAGCATTTAAATCATTTAGATCAAAAGGAATTTTTTTCTAGTTTTATACAATTATTTGTTTAATTACAGTTTAGTTTAAATGCACATCTAAAACATATTAAATAGAAAAAGTAGGGAAGAAGTAATGATTAGAATGTTTCGGGGAACTCGCTTAAGATTTGAATTTCGTCTATGTTGTAATTTAAGGTTGATTCATTCGACGGAATGCCTGCGCACCAAGATATACATTTCTCTAACAGCGACGTATGTGCAATAAATCTTTTAGATCTAAAAACTCCTTTGACACTGTGCTCATTCTGACGCCAAGATTCTCTAAAAACATTGAAATTCGCCTCCTCAAAGATTAATTTGCCATCAACAGTATCTGACAAGGCTACAAAATATTTTTATTCCAATATTTACAACACCGGTCTTCCAACGAGGATTCATTGGATGCATACGAAAAAAAATTATCCCTCCAATGCAACAGTACGTAATCCTTCTTAAGCACGTACTATAGAAGTGATTTAAATCTTGCTGCTGTTTAATAGTGAATAGAGGATAGAGAGGAAACAACCAAACGAACAAAGGAAGAACATATGAGAGAAACAAAGCTTTTCTAAGAGATGGAGAAGTGAATCCACCGAAACGAAAGGAGATAATCATGGCTACCCTTTGTCAAATTTTTATCATTGTTTTTTTAATCAACACACCAAAACCCAAAGTAGGAGTAATGATATATCCTAAATATTTGACCACTTTTGTTCATAGAATATCATTCTCGCCACATTTCAACTCTATATTTGGATACCCGATAGCACGTGCTGAAAAGACTGCTTGTGTTTTATCGTAGTTGATAAGTTGAACTGCCAAACAACAATAGTATTCTAAACGATCGAAAAAGAGCTGGAGTTTACGTTCTAAATCAAGACACTGAGAGGTGTATTTTATACCAATAGAACCAGCTACAATAGCCGCCAAATCGTCGGCAAAAAAATGACTTAAACAAAAGCTAAGAAAAATGTCCATATCGCTATGATAACAAATGAAAAGTGTTGGAGTGAATATGCTTCCTTGCGGTCCTCCTTTCATTATTTTAAACCATCTTGACCTTTTTCCACCAATCTCAATAAATGCCCTTCTCCCACCCAACCATACATTTATCCAATGTAAATAATTTTTTGGAATTCCCATTCTTTTTAGTTTAGCAAGACAGCCGGTATGCCACAATTGATCAAATGCATTCTTAAAATCGACGAACACTGACGCTACAGGTGAACTATTAGACATCAAACTAGAAATCTGCTCGAGGAACAACAGTACACGAGTTTGTAAACGAAACTCTGGTCGAAAGCCTGATTGTGATTCAGGCAACAATCCTCTCTTATTCAACACCTTCCTAAATCTAGTCAAGAATAGCTTTTCATGAACTTTTGAAAAAACATCTAGCAATGAGATTGGCCTTGTGGCACCAGGTTCACAAATGGACTCTTTCTTAGCTAACAACAACATTCTTGTTTCTTTCCACATTTCAGGCACTATTCCTTCCGAAAACGAATGATTGACTATTTTAACAAAGAGAGACCAGCATGAAAGAGGTAGAAAATTGAACATAAAGTTTGATATTCCATGAGCATCCAGCGATTTCTTCTTTTTTCGATGACAAACAACATTTACTACCTCTTCTAAGGAACAAGGTGGAATTTTTTCCTCATAATTGTCCCAAACAACTTCCGGAGCATCGGTGTACGGATGTGGACGATAAACCTCTGGTTCATTAAAGAACTCCTCATCATGGTTTGCCGCAACCTCGCCCATTTTTTCAGAATCTTTAACCACCTCGCCATTACTAAGCATAAAACAATGCAAAGAAGAAGACGAAC